ACTGTTACTGCGTGGGTGCAGTACCCACATCCCCCCAGACCCCGGCAGAGCTTTGATCCCGGCACGGTGCAAGTTTACGACCCTCTGGTTGCTGGCAAAATAATGCCCATGAGACGAGTGGTGATAAGAGTGGAAGCAAGGGTTGAAACGATGTCATAACTACATCCCGAAATGTTCTGAACTCCCCGGTAGCGTTTTAAACCTGCAGACGGGATGGCCCTGAATCTTTCACGAGTCGAATGTTTTTGTAGTCTTCCATATGGCTGCCACTCACGTCTGTAAAGGAGCTGCTGCGCAAAAGTCTGATCTCCGGAGACTCTGCAAGGGCGATAGTCGGGACGCGGGTTAGTCTCCAACTCCTTTCGCGTGCGGCAGCAGTCCATACCGGCTCTTATGCCGGACTCCTTCGTGTGGACCTCTTCCAGGAGTGCTCCATGCTGCTCCGCGGCTACCACGCCCGCGTGGCAACCCGTTGCCGGGCAGAAGTATCTGCGCGCGCTGGGGCGCTGTATGCCTCTCTGCTCGCTCTTGCAGCCTCATGTTCCTCCATTGCCTTCCTGCGCCTGCTGCCAGACCCTTGCAGAATTCCTGTGCTGCTATGGAGGCCACTTGATCCTATAACCCCTATATTTCCTTGTATTTTCCACTATCCAAATATAACCCCAACATATTACCCTAATATGTTATAATATGCCATGATATACCCGAATATATTATAATATACCCCAATATAGCCCCTAATATAAGCCCTTCCACTATATTCAATATAACCCCCTACACTCCCTATAATCCCAATACATTCCTATCTAGCCCCGATATACCAAAATCGTTTGGCTTTAGTGAGCCCATCAGCCGTCCAGTCCTGCCTTCGTGACGCAGTCGACGTGGTTTAGGGTTTAGGGCTTTCTAGGGCTCCGTAAGGGTGCAAGGACCCAAATAATATGGCTTTAGGCCCCAAATACTATACTATTAATGGTATTTGGGCCCTAAAGCCCTATTGTTTGGGTCCTTGGACCCTTAGGGGCTGCTTCTTGCACAGAATCCGTGAGTTAGTTGGGCTTGCACTGACATGTAAGGCTTTAATGTAAGGTCTTTTTTCTGACTGCGGGGTTTCTGCTCGAACTTCGAGTCCATTTTCTAATGATGACGACCAGCCCCTAGAGGGTTGCTTTCTTTAGGAAGGAATCAATGTTGTCGTAGCCCGTATTTAACCCCAATTAACAACATGATTGCCGCATTTTCCATTTGTTTTAACATTCTTTCACAGGAGTGCAAAAAAACCGCAGCCCACACCTGAGGATTGGAAGCCAGTGGCGGACCTCCGAGTGCAGAACAACGGACACAGCCTGCAGGTAACCAGCGACATGCTGCTCGGCTTGGTCTTTGATTTGGCTGGTGCGTCCAGGGCTTGTGGCCGGTTTGGCTTCATGAGATTTTATTGAGTCACGTGTTTTGCCTTATTTCGACAGTGAGTGCAGATGAAGACCGGAGGAATAAGACGGGTAGCATGAGCCACTGAAGTCTGAAAGAAAGCATGTGGGGACACCATTCCATGCAACCTGAGGCTGGGCTACGTCAAGCTCATCGGCGGAGATGGGTTCCCAGAATTTTATGACATTGTTGCTCGATAGCAAGCAGCAAGCCGCAAAGGGGAACTTGTCAGTGTCTAGCCTTTGCAGTTGAAAGTGCTAATGCAAAGACAATCATACATTACCAGCGTAGTGTTGCCCAAACTTCTCATGTTTCAGTCCGGCCTTTGGGCTGCAAGGGATTCCTGCGTTGCGGGTTTTTGCATGTCGGCTTATCGCACAGAACGATCCAGTTGCTGGCCTTTGCAAAGTTGGAGTTGTGGTTAGCCTCAGGGTTCTCACGGCAGGCCCCCTTTCAACTAGCAATCCCCTTCCCTTGACAGCGTCTTCCACATCCTTCCGTGCTTTCTTCTGCAGTACTATGCGCTCAGTGTTTAAAGCAGCTGACATTGCAAGCGCCAGGCGCAATTCCACTTGCACATGCCTTCGGAGCACATGATCAACGGTCGGCAATTTGCTGCAGAACTGCATGTGGTACACACGCGGCAAAGGGCGGTCGGCCAAGAGACACCCGACTCAACTTACATGTCAAGTAGCTCTGCAGGGCCCCTCGCAGATTGCAAAGGTCAGTTCTTGAGCTTTTGAACAGCAGCAGGAATGGACATGATATCTCAGTGATAAGGAAGAACACGTACGACTCCTTCCCATTGGTTGTGCTGGGGCGGCTCGGTTGCACTTGTGTATCTGCGGAAGATCGTGTTAAGTTGTGGACGTCTCCAAAAACCGTAAATGATTTTCACTGGTCCTTAAGGACTTCCCCCAGGTTTGTTGCACATGGAAAGCCGAAATGATCCACGGCAAGCCTCCATGATCAATAGCATGAAAGGCAGCGCCCCCAGGGGCCATAACCAGTTTGAAAACATGCCCATGTTAGGTTATCACCGGCGGATGCTGATGAACCGGCACCCTCAACCCCTAGACCCCTAAAGCAAGTGTTCCCAGCCTTCCGTATGCAGACACCCAGGAGCGTTGGCATCATGTAGATGCAGCAAGCCAATGGATGAGAAGTATCATGCTTGCTCCAAGATGTGTAGGTTTTACCCTAAACCATAAACCGGTTAGGGTTTATAGGGTTCAGGGTTTAGGGTGTGGGTGGGAGAATGAGGTTTATGTTTGACATCACTGACACGGAAAGCCACTTCCTCAAGCAGTTCTACCTAGGCCTGGGCATTCAGAGAGTGCTGCAATTTCGAGCAGTGACGGGCGTATGGGCTATAGTCTACTTCTTAAACGGCGTTATATAAGGGATTATATATAGGGGAGCATTGTAATAGGGGTTATTAAGCGGGATGCTAGGAGTTTAGACTATAGCTCACTTAGGGATTAGGGATGTATAGGGACATACAGGATACATTAGAGCAGTGGAGAAGGGTGTCTGTAAAGTGTGCCAAACTTATGTTCACTTTCTGTCCCTTTTATCGAGGATCGTGTTGGCTTTGGTATGTCCGCGTCTATGAAATCATTCAAGGAAGCAGAATCACGCATAGGTATACATATATATATATACATGTATATATACACGGATAATAAATGGCTCAGTGATGACCATTTCTGGCTAGCTTCAAGGAGAATGCAGACTCCGCATGAAGTAGCTTTTGCAGCCTGGATGTCTTGATGTTTGAGGGTGCGCGATTTCGCCTCCATAGGCAGGACACCTGAAAGCAACAATGGGGCCGACCCTCAGGACACGTTTTGCCTTAGATGCAGGCCCGCGTCCACTCCATTCTGTAAAGAGTGTTGCGCATGCAAGTATGGAAGCTAGATTTTCGCAAAACCACACCAAATCTCTTGCAGTGCCCAAGTCTGGGAACTACAGTATGCTGTCTACTCCACCAAGACGAGGGCCATGGATTCTTGCAAAGCCCGCAGTGTTAATTTCAGGCGCCGCCGCAGCAAGAGAAGGATATTCTGCCGAGGAATAGAAAGATGTATTTTGCTTCTCGCTTCCACCCGATGCACTTACAGAACAGCCTCCTCACTTCTACCCTAAACCTAACCCGAAAGCCCGTTGTTCTTGACGTTCACAGGTGAGGAGCCCATCAAGAACCAAACTTACAAGAGCCTTGGCGGTAAAGTCATGGGATTTGTGATGAATGTGCAAGATTGAAAATGCAGAATCAGTTTGACATCCGCATAACATGGGCCTCAGAGCCTACGCTTCACAGCTCTGTCTACTGGCAAAAGCACGTGCGACACGGCTGTTTCAATGTAGCCAGAAACAGACACAGGCACCCAGCGACAACTCAATTCACAGAAGGCACGGCCTCTGTTGTTAGCTAGATGATCCCTCTCAGCTACCACCACCGTCGCACACCGCCACCAGCACCATCATCGCCCCACCGCTGCATCTTCTGGCTGCAGGAACTACAATCACTACAACAGAGAGGCTAATCAGAACTTGGTTTAACACTTGATTGGTTGCCAAACTGTTAACAGACAACGTCAAACCCTTCTTGCATTCGACTAATCATTGTAAAATCAATTGAAAATCCCAGAACACCTGCAAAACTTCCATTGCACGCTCTCTGAAGGTCCCAAAGAGTCGCCTGACCTGAAATGCTTTGAAGTGTGAGTGCGAAGCCTTGTAAGATCCCTACTTACTACTACTCTGCGCCAGATACGCTCTTAAAACCTGAGCAGCATACCTGTAGCTGTAGCCTCATTTCCTACAGTTGAGTAGGCAAACCCATAAAACTGTAGGTAATTGGAGCTACAGGTGCAGGTAGGGTGTATGGTGTATTGCGGGTATTTGCAGCTATGTCAGTTCCCCAGAAACCCTCAGTCGAGTTTCCGAGCCTGGCTCAGGACCGCCAAGAAGCCAATCGACTTGATGAGGTCCCAGCGTCTCGTGTAAGACTCCTACTGTAGGGTTTTAGAGTTTAAGGGTTTGGAGCTTAGGGTTTACGGATTAGAGTTTAGGGGCGGTTTTATTGTTGATAGGAGATCTATAAAGATCGACATTGGATTTGTAGTGCCAGGCTTTTGATTGGAAAGTGAGCACATTTACCAAACATATCCTCAACAAATACCCGGCAACTTGGAAAACGAAACGCACAAGTAGATCACTTTTCCGATGACCAGTAGCCCAGACAACAAACAAAACATGTACATCGTGGAGAACCAAAGGGAAAAGCAATCGGACATGTGATGGAACAAATCCGTGTAAAAAGGGACTACATAAAGGGATTCTAAAATGTAACATGGGGCGGGGGGGCGGGCGTACTGAAGGTCTATTAGAGCTAATCGTAAGAGATGCAAGGAATCTAGGACCTACGAATTACACCCTCCAGGCGAAACATGGGGCATTGAGCCTCCAAGTATTCCCTGCATATCTTGAAACTCACCCCAATGCATACAGCACTCCCTTCAACACCTACACAACAAAGAATCCCCTCTGATACACGGATTAGGGTTGAGGGCCTCCAGGAATCCGCATTTCTATCGGACAAAGAATTTCACGCTCGTTTGACTCGTTTGTAAGACTCCGAAGCCCCTACGCCCGAAACACTGCATTTTTGGCACAAGCACGTACGTACATAACTGAGCTTCCAAGCTCTAAGCGGTACAGAAGGTCATGTAAGCCTCCCTGCAGTTCTGGAAAAGCTAGGTTTTGGGCCTGTAGATGATGCGAACAGTTCAGGCTTTCTGTGGGGAATCTGCTCGAGCATAATTTTGAATCTTTGCTTGTGGCTTGGATTCCGCCAGGTCCTTAGGTCCAGCGCTGGACGGTGACTTCTACAGAACCTTGTGCACCGATGGTCTGTCAGGAGGTTGAGAGGAGAAAGTCATGCCTCATGCTTGAGGAAGCTTGTATGGTAGTTTCCCAAAATAGATAGACCCCAAAGTACACAGTCCTTATTATAGGGACCCCCAAGAAGGCAGAAGGTACCCGTAATTTCGGGAATCCCCCATATACAGGATTGAACTGGCAGCCTCTTTTCATGCAGCGAGGGCTTGGAGTTTTTGCCCGGGTGCCTTCAAAAGATCATTCCTCGGGGTCAATAGCCAAGACCAGTATAGGGTTTAGGTTTTAGGTTTTAGGCTTCCCTAAGACGAGAGGCTTTAGGGAAGCCAGACCCAAACCCTAAACCCAAAACCCTGAATAGACGGCTCAGGATATGATGGCAGCTTCACAACGCCTGACTGCCATGAACAGATCAAGTGGCTTCTTGGTCAGTGCGGTTTAAGGTTTATAGTCCCCCTCAAGTAGATAGAATATGGGATGTATGGGGGTCTTATTATAATCTTAAGGGGGACTATAGGGTTTAGGGTTTCGGTAAGTATTGCGCTGAGGAAGTTCTTTGACTCTTTGCAGAGGCAACTCTTGTTGACCATTTTCTATCATGTTTTACAGCCACTTGCTAGCACTGCCACGATTCTCGCTTCATGTTCGCGATCCTTCGGGTTATCCGTATATATATCTCTCTATATATATATTCATATACACAATAATCTTACCCAGCTCACCTTGCTTGACCCTAGACCCTAAACCTCACCCTAAATCCTATAAGCCCTAAACCCTAAACCTTTTTGAGGGTGGAGTAGATGAGCATTTTCCTGCAAGTCGAAACTCTCATTGCTGCTAAAGGCAAAGATGGGCATACCTTGGGTCATTCTCCCCCTCACCGTCTGACTAAGGAGGCTGGTATAGCTCCCATTGCCCCTGTGGGAATGGTTGCCGTAAGGATCTGTAAGGCGGAATGACCTGAGGCATGCCCCTTCCCTAATCATGACCACGCCCACCCTCCTGACAGTCATTCCTTTTCTTTTCTACAAGACTCCCAAATGCTGAGGTTTGTTTTCGACCACATCTTTAGCATGAGCCTGCCGCAGTGGGAGACCTTCAAGAAGGAATTCCCTTTTGCGCCACGTGGCAGCAATAGGAGCCTCAAGGGACCCCAATCTGGCTGGTTCTTTGAATTCCCTAAGGGTCCAAGGATCTAAATAATAGAGTTTTAGGGCCCAAATACCATTAGTATTATGGTTTTTAGGCCCTAAAACCCTATTATTTGGGTCCTTGGACCCTTAAGAATTCCTTACATCCGGAAAATAATGAGATACGCGAAGCCTCTTCTGACCGTTCAAAGCCCTTGTGTTGCAGGAACCTGGCTCCGATCTCAGTCATTTTTTATGCCAAGTGTGGGAGGGTCTTCCAGGTTGGATGGTTGTGGAGGTCCCCAACCTAAGATGCTTAAGCAGCATGCGTCAATTGCGTGTACGTAGGACGTCGAAATATGGGGCCTCGTTTAGGTCATATTCTTGGGGAATTGTATGTCTAGAGGGCCTCCACCGTGAGAATACCTGCACGTCTTGTGACCATGCCAGCTAGTAGTCAGAGAAGTATTTTCGTCCTTAAGATCTGGACTTGGTTTCTTTGCAGGCTTGACCACGAGCGCCAATACAATCCAATAACAACTACAAGGAACTACAAGTACCTCATGCCCGAAAAATGGCTGTATTGGGTGGCGCTTATCGGTCTTGGAGCTTGATTTTGTCTAATTACTGTTAGGGGACAGGTATTCAACACCATGAGAACCTCAGGCACGCCAATCGCCCAGTGAATGCGATCAAAGACCACCGCCTTGTGAAGAATGACTTCGAGGACGTGGCTACTATGCAGCTGCAATGTTTGTTGTATCTCTCCCAACAACGTTTTCCGTCGCATCCCGCCTTCTTCCAGAACCAGGGCGCCTGCTAACTCGAGGCTGTCACGAGGGTTTCGGTAGCTTCAGCAATCATATGATGATTATTATAGAGTCCTACTTTTGGGGGTTCGGGCCACCAAAGCCCTCTTATTTCCCCATAGCGTGAAGCCTCGAAGGTACCTACAGGCCTGAAATCATGGAGACTTTCAGGGTGGCAGGTGGCCTCAAGAGGCCTTCACAGACAAAGAGCATTCGTTGGATGAGCCTGGATAGGATCCATAGCTATGAGCGACCAAACCACCCCCTCTACACCACGCCGCCACGGTTCCCCCTTAACTAGGCCAATTTAGAGCCAATTAGGATGGTTGGCCAGGATGAGAAACCATAACTTGAAGGCGAACAGGCACCTTCTCCGCTTAGAGCTTTTGGAGTAAAACACAAGATTTAAGCTTGAACTGTGGCTAGTAATTATCTTATAGAGTTTAGGGTACCCGGAAAGGGACCCTCTCACACGTGTACTAGTAAGTCTCAGAGCTCCATGCAGGAGGGAACTCCCGTGCAATACGACTTTTTCCTGGGGCGCCACGAGGGCCGCAACCGCTACCTCCCAGGTTGGGTGGTTTAGGGGTTTAGGGTTTAGGGTTTAGAGCTCAGGTTTCAGGGTTTAGGCTTCAAGGTTTAGGGTTCCAGCAACAGGGTTTATGGCCACTTGGGCCTTTTGTCATGGGAACTCACCCCTACCCCACTAAGGAGGGCTGAGAGGCAAGGAGGCGCTTCTACAAAAGGGGTGCTGTTAATAACAATGCTTCCCATCATGTGGGGCTCTGGGAAATTTGTCCTGGGGTTGTCCTGGGACGTGGCGTATTTGGACTTGCAGGCTACGGCGTTACGGCGGGGAATGTCATGTTTCTGGGAGACATATGGTAGTTTCCAGAAATTGGGGGACCCCAGCAATATGGACCGCAAAAAACTATAGACTATACTCCTTACTATTAGGACCCCCAGTATTGTAAGCTTAATTTGGGGAAACCCCCATGTATGAGGACATTGATTTCAGGTTCCGAAGCCCTGAAGTCGAGGCATATCAAGGTAGTAGCAACGGCAGAGTTCTTAGAAGAGGCACTTTCCGCAGGCCGTATGTAAACAGTTCTAGAAAAAAAGGGGGGGGGGGCCTTTCTACTGCAAACGTCCAGGAAGGCTTCAAAACCCTGGAGTCCACTAAGGGGTTCAAGACTCTTCAGGACATGCTCTCGGAAACTAGCAGCACGCGCACTCAGTTGTTCAAGCATATTAGTATTAATATTATTACAATCATTATTATTTGTTACTATTATTATTAATTATCAGTAATTATTTATTATTATGTATGTATGTATTATTATTAGGCTGCGCCCTGGGCGTTTGCCCGGAATTAATCCGCTGTCAAGCGCATCCGCTGTCTAGATTCGTTAACAAGAGCATACGATTGTCAGAGCATCCATGCCAATACCATAATCACGTTCGTGTTCCGAGAGCAAAGCATCCATGCCAACAGAGCATCCATGCCAAAACCATAATGACGTTCGTGTTCCTAAAGCATACGGTTACCAGAGCATCCATGCCCAAACCATAATGACGCTCGTGTTCCTAAAGCATACGGATACCAGAGCATCCATGCCAAAACCATGATGGCGTTCGTGTTCCTAAAGCATGCGGTTACCAGAGCATCCATGCCAAAACCATAATGACGCTCGTGTTCCTAAAGCATACGGTTGTCAGAGCATCCATGCCAAAACCATAATAACGTTCGTGTTCCTAAAGCATACGTTTGTCAGAGCATCCATGCCCAAACCATAATGACGTTTGTGTTCCTAAAGCATACGGTTGTCAGAGCATCCATG